AAAAAAAAAAAAAAAAAGAAAGGAGCAGAACAGACCCTCTGACCACTGGGACTGGGGTTCCCTGAGGACAGTCTCCCCTTGGGGTCAACAGTGCACAGAGCTACAAGCAGGCATTTCCGTGCGTGAAGATTCTGACCACATTGAGGACACAGCCTGCTGTGGGGTCCCCAGTCTAAGGCTCCCCTGAACCTCCCCTTAGAAAGAGCACAAGGGAGATAAGCACCTCACCCTGCCTGGTTTCCCTAGGTGGGCATTTGGGTGGGCCCAGGCGCCCTCTTGTGGCTTCTCTTGTCTCTGCATGGGCCCTCCTCGTGTCCCTGTGCTTGGAGAGGCTTCCCATGCTTAGACCGTTTCTCTGTCCCCAGCCTATACCCTTTCCCCTGTTCCCAGCCTTCCCAGCCTCCAGCTGAAGTCTGAAAAACTCAGTCACAACTCTCTCACTTTCTCCTGTGCAGACCTCAGAACCTTGAGGTTCTCCAGCAAACCCCTTCAAATGCTATCTCGGGGCATAGCCATGTGGCGATTTACTGTATAGACATACCATCTAGTTCAAATCCTGACTGCATCACTTAGGAGCAATTGTACAACCTTACTGTGCCTTACTCTTCTCACTTTAAAAATGAAGTTCATAATAGTTTCTACCTTAAAGAGTGATGGGAATTAAATAAGATAGTATTGGTCAATTTGTCTGTCAAAGCCTCAATACCATCGCCGTCCTGCCTGCCCTTTTCCAGAATGGCCTGCCCTTTTCCAGAATGACTTGTTGGCAGGATTCCCTGGGTTAGATCTAGGCAATGGGAGGCAGCAGAAGCACCTTATTGCTTCTCCAATAGCCGTGGATCCAGAGTTTCTTTTCAGTTTTGCAGCCACCTCTGCAGATTTTCCCCTGAATACTGCCTTAGGACAAGAGGCAGCTGTGATCATTGCTGGTGCTCTCCTGCAGTTCCTGCAACTCTCTAAAAGCTAGAGGCAGCTTTCCCTAATCTTTACATTCCAATCCATCCAATGGGTTCCCGTACTGAACACTATTAATCATGGAGGGCTTCCTGGAGGAGGTGAGGTTGTTAGAATGATGCTAGGCCAAAAAAGAAGAAGGCTTCCAGTGCTGAATAATTCCATCTCAGTGCCCATTTGGGCCCTGCCCCTCCGCTCACCTCTTCACAGTTTCCAGGGAGACAGTTTCCAGGGAGCTTGGAATCCTCACATTGCTGTCACTTGGCAACCAGGAGCTGGTGGCTGCAGCCACCTCCCATGTTCCTTTCAACATCCTGGGCCCTTGCCTTTATCCCTGGCATGGGCTCTGCACTGCCCAGGTAGCGAGGGCCCAGCTGGGGAAGCACCTTCTACCTGCTTCCTTTCTCAGCCAATCACAGGCCTCACAGGGACAACTGAGACTCTTTTCGATGGTGGTAAGTGCCCAGAAAGTGCTGGGTGGACCAGGGGCAGGACACAGACAACCCTCTGGTCCCAGAGGACCCTCTCTTTTGTTCTCATCAATGGAGGACCCTGGAGTTCATGGGTGGACGGAACACAGTACTGGCCCAAAGGGCACACAGCCTAGGGCAAGGGACAGAGCTTACCTCCTTCTTGTGATATACAGATGCTAGTGACTACTCCATGCTGCCGGCTGGGCCACAGACTAGCAAGGCGCGGCTCATCCTTGGGGGTGGGGGTGGGGGAGCTGGGGAATAGCAGAGGCCATGGTGTCCACCTCACTCCTTAGCAGTCATTTCTAAGCACCAAAGGCCACTTCCTCTAAACTCTACCTGAGGGCTTTTCATGCCCCCAGAAGCACTCCTCAACCAGGGAGTGAGTGCAAAAAACCACCTTAATTCTCTCACCCTCAGTTGGGACAAGTCTGGGAAATGTGTCTCCCAGAGTTGCTGGACAGGACTGAGCTCAGGTGCCCAGAGGTACCTGGCTTGATCACATAACACCTATTGGTCACTTCCTAGTCTCCCTTCCCCACCATCTTGCTGCTATTTCCTGGAATCAGCTCCCAAATAAACCACTCAAATCCCTGTCTCATGTTGGCTTCTGAGGGATGACTAATGCAGGGATGATGATGTATTATAGGAAACCAAAGTTCTGTGAGACTCAAGCTATAACTGTATGCAAAGCAGTGGCTGAACCAAGGGACCGGTGGGGGAGCTCTCTGCCCAGGTGCAGGCAATGATGGGGGTGTCTTGGCTGTAAAAAAGTTAAAAGCAGTAAGAAAACTGGCCAGTCTGCTTTTTATTATAAACTAGCCATTCTATTGAGCTTCAATTATAAAATTCTCCTCCCCATTGAGGTTGATGGCTCTTGCTGTCCCATGCCTGCTCCTTGGCACCCCACTGATGCCAACTGCACTGAGGACAGAGAAATTGTGGGCAGAGGAGATGGGGGAAGGTATCACTCAGAAGGCAGCATTGATCCCTTCATCACACAGGACTAGCCGCATTTCACACCTTCATGCCTTTGCGTGGGCCAGTCCCTTCTACGGGAATACTTTTGTGCCTCAATTCCCTCCCACTCTTCCATTATGGTTCAGTGTCACTGGGCATCCCCTCCTCCAAGAAGCCCTCCCTGACTCCTAGCCTGAATTAGATGCCACCTCTGGGCTTGCACGGACCTCCAAGTGCCCCTATGTCATCCCGTTCTGCGGATGGGAAGTCTGTGCTCAGACAAGGTGGCCTCTCTTCGCGACCTAATTTAACATCCGGCCTGTGGCGGTCCCTCCAGCGACCTGGAAAAAGGAGATTCCCGCTCTAAAGAGCCCCGCTCCGCCTGCGAGCTGCCTGGCGGAACCTTTAAGTGCCCCGCTCCAGTTTCCAGCCGGCGCATTCGCGCTACTGAGCCGGCGCTTGGAGCTACTTCCGGCGGCCGCGCTCCGCCCTCGGGCGTCTCCATTTTGGCCGCAGGTGGGGACTGGGCCTGGGTGGGTGGAGTAGCGGAGGGTAGTCCTCAGCAGTCGCAGGACCCAGTCGGCTTACGGCACTGTCTCCCTTCCTTCCTCCACCCGCAGGAGCCGAGGGCGCCCATGGCGGGCTTGGAGGTACTGTACGCATCGGCGGCGCCGGCCATCACCTGCGCGCAGGACGCTTTCATCTGCTTTCTGCACTGGGAGGTGGTGACGCACGGCTACTACGCCTTGGGTGTCGGCGACCAGGTACTCCAGACAGCCGGCCCGGGGCCAGGGTGGTGGGGTGAGGTGTCTTCTGCCGGGATCCAAGGACCGGAGCTCTGGGCCGGAGCGCCTGACGCTCCCCCGCCCGAGTCCCGGCCCTGGGGCTTCTGGCACCTTCGGTTTGGTGTGCGGGTCGGGGAGCTGCTCTACTGGCCAGGCCCAGCGCCCCTCACAACACAGCTGGGGCAACATGATTTGGAAACTCAAGAACAAAAGCTCGCTTCGGCACAGCCTGGCAGTCTCCCAGGCCAGGATCGTGTGGACCTGACACTGAGACGGGGGCGTAGCTCCCCTTGAGCACTCCTCACCTGCCTGAACTCCGCCGAGCTCCTTCCCACACAGCGACGGGGGCGATACTCAATATTGTATTCGGGCCTCCACCGGATAATCTGAATCCAAGCACGCTTATACGGGTGATCTTTGACCTGTTCAGCCGCCCTCAGGGACCCTTTCTTTACTCCTCAGCACGGGCCCAGAGAGCACACACACTTTTCACCTTTTACTGAAGGGCCCAGTGCAGCCCACTCACCGCTGTCATCCCCAGCTCAGGTTCTGGGAAACAGCCACTGTGCCGCACCCCCACCCCCCACAGGTACACCCCTGCACCCTGGATGTGAGAGCCAGGTAAGGTTACCTCCCCAATTGCTGCCCCTACAGGGTCAGCCCCTCCTGCTATCCCATCCTCAGGCTCTGCCTCTTAGAGCTGGGGACCTTGTCGTCACACCCACAGAGCCCCAGGACTGCTGGGCCCTGCCTACTGCATAATTCTTTGGGGGAGCCTTTGTTCATCTTCCATGCCCCTTCCCTGTGACATTCACCCTTTACATCATCCTGCACATTAGCTTCCTGGGAGAACTGGGCCTGGCCCCCTTTCTGCCCCTTCAGTTCTCTTCTATTTCATCAGAGAAAATATCCTCCCAGCCACACACCCCACATACACGCAGGATTCCCAGCCTGACCCTCACTGTTGCCTTCTCACCCTCAACCTACATCAGCTCTGGGGAGTAGGGCATCTCACCCCTTGCATCTCTTGTGATGAGATTTTAACCTTACTCTCATTTCTAACTGCTTCAGTTCTAACTCCCTAATCCTTTCTTAGTTTCTCAGATGTACATCCAGCATCTTAAGTTTTCCTCTCCTGACACAGAGCCTTCAGGATCCCTCCTCAAACACAGTTTACACATCCCGAGCCCTGAGAGCCAGGCACTCCCTTCCATTCCCTGCTGCCCCATTCCTTTGTCCTTTAGAGCAGTGAGCAAGACCATCACCTCCTCTCACGCTTAATGCCCACCAACAGGAGTCACATCAGAAGGACAAGAACTATCATGGATATTTGGCTCTTTTTTTTTTCCTCGTCCCAGACCTCAAGTATCTCACAGGAACCCCAGATACACTCTTAGCATGCCCCTCCAGGCTCACACATACTTGTTCCCTCATGTGGAATCTAAGACTGGTTATAAGGCTGGAAAAGAAGGGGACTCACATACACACCTGGAAGCAGGAACCACATTTTCCTCCCAGATAGCTCTGTTCTTGGCCTTTCTGTCCATCCTGCACTACATTCCACTTACCCTGCCTTTCAACATCTCAGGCCTTGGAATCCGGTAGAGATGGGGTCTCCACCCACGAGTATTGGGCTCCTGCTCCAGTGTATAGTGTTCCCAACAGAAACTTTGTTTCCTCACTTGCCCCGCTTCACCTTTCCAATCCTGAATGACTCTTTCACTTGCCCCTGTCATTTCATTTCAGCTTTGCTTGGGAAGTCCAGGAAGCTGATGTGTAGAATGGCGTGGAGTGCAGTGGAATTGGAGAGGGGAGGAAGACTTACTTGGTCCTGCCCTTGGGTCTCGTCTATGGGCCCTCAGTTCCCCCCACCCCTTGCCCTGTCCTTCAGATATAACGGGTCTGCCCTGTTCTCTGCCCCTCCTCATGGACCTCACCTTGTTTACTCCCAGCTTGCTATTTCTGCTCTGACACAGTTGGAATCTCTCGCCCCAGAACAGGAACTTCTTACCGAGGGCCTGTGCGACTCCCTCTCTTCTCCCCACTTCACAGGACATACCAACACTACATACAGATCTGCTGTCACCACTCGTCCCTTCACACACCTCTCCGCAGCTCTGAATTCTGACAGCTTAGAGACATCAGTTCATATAGGTCATTGCCTCCTTTGGCATCATCCCCTTGCCAAATACTCTAGGCCCCAGTTTTTCAGGTGAAATGTGCAGAAGGAATACAATCTCATTTTAATACAGGTTTTAAAAAAAAGATCCTTGCCTGATTCCTAAAGGTCCATCTAATTCCACTCTGTTCGTGGTGCCACCTGTTGAGATGATGCAGGCCAGAAAAAGATTCCGGCCCCAGATGTCATGCAGGAGGCCAGGGAGAATGGGGAGGAGGGTTTTGAAAGGCACTAACCACTGTCCATGTGTCCACCCCAGCACTAAATCATGCATGCCATCTGGGGCTGGGTGTTTGTACTGCTCTCTGGTGTGTCTTTTTGCTTCTGTGCGCTTTCTCTGAAGTGCTGCTCAAGCTCAGGTTGCACTTGTCCTCCTCTGACTTACGCTGCTGAGTCAACTTGCATGGGAGTAGAAGCCCTTTAGAGAGGCATCTATTAGTTTATTTAAGAGAGGGTTTAATTTTCTGTCCTGGGGCCAGCAGACTCCGCTGAGACCAAGAGTGTTTGCCACGCTCAGAGAATGTTTATGTTGCCTCTCCAGCCACCTCCTTGTAGGGGTGATAAGGAGAGAGGAAGGTCCCAAAAGTGTGTGCTTCATCATATAGTATATTGACAGTTAAATAGAAAGCTAAATAGTCTGTTTTTCTCTTTGGTTTTATCTCCTGTTGTGCAGGGCAGTTGTGTATGTAAAACTCGGTTAGAAGAGCAATGAGGCCACTGGCTTCAATAAAAATCCAATATTTGAATTTGGATTACTTTTTTGGAGTTAGTACCATTCCTCCTAAGAGCTTTACAGAGGTGTCAAGTGAGTTAGGTGGCAAGGGGTTAGAGATGGCTATAGATACAGGTTTGAGAATTTTGTTTTCTTTTGTAGGAATCTAAAGGTTATGACAAAAGAGAGGAAATGCCCAAAATGATCTGTTTGTGTTTCTTTGAGTGCATTTTAGCCCAGAGACCCAGGGATGAACTCATGGCCACTGAAGAATGCTTCCAGCCCCAGGATGTTGCCTAAGTGGACAACTATCCTTATTTTCTTGGGGCCAGTCTAGTGGATCTGGCTGGGAAAAATCTCCAGCCATAGACCAAGCAGCCAGGAGCTCTGAATGCCAAACCCAGCTCTGCATCTGACTTACTGTGACCTTAGGCAATTCTCAGCCCCTCTGAGCCCTTAAATTTTTCATCTGAGGGTATTAAACTATACAGCCAAATGCTTTGGCTACTTTCCAGTTGCAGCTTTCTGGGGGGCCTGATATTTGATGTCAGGGCCTAGAACGCAGTTGAAATGCCAAATCTGGCCTGTTATCACCAGGGCCAGTCCCTCTTGGTCCCACCTCTTTTCCCCATATCAGGGCAGCCCTTGGGCTGGGACCATCAGTTCCCCTGCAACAAGAGGTGTCAGCCTCATCTGACCCCAGGGTTCTCTCTTGCCCTAGAAGCCAGAGTCTGTGGAAGAGTGAGCAGACCAAATTACCATATTCCAAGGAAAAATTCTGGTGGGTTAAATGCTGTATGTGGAGGATATACATATAAGTTTAAAGGCCTCTGACAGAACAAAGATAAGGCACGTTATCAAAATCTGAGCTTCCAAAGTAAACCTTAAATCCACTAAACCTGTTAACAGGAAATGTACCTAGTTGGAAGTGAGGGATTGTTTTTCTTTCTCACTTGGCAGACTGGTTTGATTCGTTTCATTTTTCTTCTTCGTCACTCTCGTTTCTTTGCTTCAGGCTTGTGAGTTTCCTTGTCATCCAGCCAGCTTTTAAACCATGGCAGTTGCAACATCTTGAATTGTATTTGGGACCACTTCCCCCATTGGATTCCTGAGCACCAAGCGGGTGACCAAAGTGGAGAGACCCACGATTCTTTGCTCTTGGCCTCCCATTGTCCTTGATGTATGTAAAGGCTGTGGTGCTGGACCTTTGTCTTTTGCTGTTGTTCTTCATCTTTGGTCCAGTTCCTCCCACCATATTCTCCTGAGTGCAGAGCTTCCCAATCCACTTGCTCCATGTTTAGCCATATAAATCGGTATCTATGAAAAAATATATAGATTACTTTTGTGTGTTTTAAAAAAATTTTTACATAAATGGTACCAGGCTGTAGATTTCATTTTTTCTTAACTTCTATTAAGTTTTTTATGTATATATAAAATTTTTTTTTAAGTAGGCTCCATGCCCAGCGTGGAGCCCAACACGGGGCTTGAACTCATGACCCTGAGATCAAGAGATGAAGACCTGAGCTGAAATCAGGAGTTGGGCACCCAATAGACTAATGCAAGCGCCCTTTAAGTTACATTTTAAGTTTTATTTTTTACCTTTATCTGTGATGCTACAATTTGATCTAGTTTGTTCCTTCTAACTCCTGTGTAGTATCCCACTGTGAGCATATTTTTTCATTTCACCTTCATGTTGGTGTTCTGACACAGTTGTGATGAAGATCCCTTGTCATGTCCCCTGTGCCTTTGTGCACAGAGTTTCCTCCAGGAATGGAGGTTGGGGTCACAGGGTGTCCACTTACCTCAGTGCGCACCACATGCTGCCAGACTGCTTTCCAGAGGGTTTGCAGCAGTGTAAGTGGCCACCCGCAGTGTCTGAGGGTCCCCACACTCACATGAACAAAAATGGAGAAATGGGTAATACTGGTGTGACGGGTGTAATGCGGAACCTCATCCTTTCAGCCTGCACTTGTCTTGAGTGCTGGTGAAGTTGAACGGCCCTCTATATACTGTTATCTGCTCGCTCTTTGGCTTGTTCATATCTTCTGCCAGTTTTTCAAGTGGGTTCCCAATTTTTACTGCTCATTTTCCAGGCATTCCCTTAATGTGCTAGGTATTCATTCTTTTTCGTCTGTAGCCATGGCAAACATCTTGTCCTAGCCTGTGGCTGCCTGTTAATGTTGCCGTGTCTGTTGTTGAACAGAAGCGTCCAATTTGGAACAGTTTCAAAGACAGTTCTTTTTTTCTTTTGTGGATCTTAAGAAATCTTTCCCCACCTAGAAATCACTCTCTTACTTTTTCCTGTAGTTTAAAAACGATTTCTCAAACTTTAGTGTGTAAAAGGAAAGCCCTAGGATTGTTTAAAAGGAAAAAGAAGACCTCACACCTCACAGTCATGCATTTTTACACCCACCAGGAGGGCAAAAATTTTTAAATTGGACAGTGACAATGTTGCTGACCACATGGAACTGCGAGGACTCTCATACAGTGTTGGTGGAAGTGTAAACCCGTACCTCTTTGGAAGACAGTTTGACTTTATCTTATAAATTAAAAGTTCTTTTCCCACACATACGCTATAGAAACGCATCCACCTGTGTACTAGCAGATGTATACGCAAATGTTCACAGCAGCAGCGTTTGTAACAGCGGACCTGTACACGGTCCATATAGGCGTCAGCAGGTGAGCGTGTGCCTGGCAGTGTGCTCGAACACCACCACCCCGTACAGCTGTGATCTGTGCTGCGTGGAGCGCCGAATAGGGCACCATACGTGGTTAAATGTGTTGACACAGCGAAATCTTACAATAACTGACAAAAAAGGAAGTGATAAAGGTGATGTCATTTATATAAATTCAAACACATGTGAAGCAATATATTTTTAGGGTTGTATGTATAGTAATACAGCAAGCAGGGAAAGTAGAGACATTTTAAAAAATACAGAGAAGCGATTACCCATGAGGGGAATAAGCGAGATTCATTAGGAGTACCCTGCTGGAGGCTTTGGCGGTGGCGGTGTTCTCTTAAGCAGGTGGCACATAGGTGTCCACTGATGTTTTATCTTGTACATCTGCTCCACTTTGTGTGTGTATGAAAATTGTTCATCATTTTTGTGAAACCACTACAGTAGTCTGGAGGGGAGTACACTAGAATCTTTATTTTTAGTCAACACTTTGGTGATCCTCTTGCAGATGGTCCGGGTTCTGAACTTAGAAAAACACCATCCTAGAATTTCGCAGTATCCCTTCAGGTGACTGGCGAGGAGATTCTTATCAAACCAAGGCTGCAGATTCTGGACAGGTTCCAGTACTATGTCATGAAGGCAGTCAGCTACAAGGGAGGGAGCACTGGAGCCGGAGTCCAGAGACTAGGTCCCAGACCTCTAACTTGGACATTTTCTTTCTCTTGACCTCCATGTCCTCATCTGTGAAATGAGGCAGTGGGATTAGATTGTCCTCAAGGCCCTTCATAGCTCTGTGTTGAGCCATGAAGATCTTCCTTCTCTCAACCCTGGTGTCTTCTCAGCCAGGTCCCAGTGATAAGAAATCAGAACTGCTGCCGGCCGAATGGAATAGCAATAAAGACCTGTATGTCCTCCGGTATGAGTCTAAGGATGGGTCCAGAAAGCTCCTTGTGAAGGCTGTCACCGTGGAGAACAGCATGATCATTAATGTGCTGGTGAGTCTCAGGGACATGTTGGCATCTGCTGGTGGGAGCGGACATTGGGATCACCTTTGTGCAGCCCGTTTAACAGTACAGATCAAGAGCCTTAAATGTTTATGAGGACTTTACCCAGTGACCCCACTTGTGGAACCAAGACAGGAGTCCTCCATATAGAAAAGCTTTGTGCTCAAAGATGTTCACCTTCTGGTATTATCAAGGGAGGGACTTCATCACAGGGGAATAATTACGTAATTTAGGGTAAATCCTTTCGGTAACAACAGGGATGGAAAAAAGCTTACTGTAGGCCAAGGGCCTGTTTTAGTTCTTTAGATAAGCCTAGCTCCCTGCTATCCTGGCGCCCTTACAGTTCTCATTTCCAGGGATGGAAAACTCTTCCCCACACCATGGACTGCCTCACGCACACCTTCCTCCCTTCAGCCCCTGCTAATCCCTTCTCATTTTTCACTTCCTCAAAAAGTATAGTCCTGACGACTTACTCTCACCTGCCAGAAAAATCTGAATTACGCCTCCCTACTTCATCATTTTATTTCCTTGCTGGTCCTTAACCACAGTTATGTACTTAGTTGTCCTTTGGTTTGATGTTTGTCTTCTGCCACTGGACTATAAGCACCCCAAGGGCAATGACTCTCTTGTTAAGTGTGTCCTGGTTGTCCCTGTGTGCTCATATAAAAGTAGCATGCAGTCTGTATTGCACTGTACCTGGCTGTTTTCACTCAATATCTTTTGGAGGTCTTTACATGGGAATGCATATAGATATACCTTATTCGTTTTAACTACTATGTAGTATTCTGTAATACCGTAATTTATTTATCCCTTTCTGGGTTTTTTCCCTTTATTTAAATTCAGTTTAGTTAACATATACTGTATTATTAGTTTCAGGGGTAGAATTCAGTGATTTATCAGTTGTGTATAACACTCAGTGCTCATTACATCAAGTGCCCTCCTTAATGCCCGTCACCCCGTTACCCCATCCCCCCACCGACCTCCCCTCCAGCAACCCTCAGTTTGTTCCCTAGAGTTAAGAGTTCTTACGGTTTGCCTCCCACTCTGTTTTTATCTTATTTTCCCTTCTCTTTCCTTGTGTTCATCTTACCCCTTTCCGTTTTGACGAACATTTACATCTTGTGTCAGAGTTCTTAGTTATAAATAATAAAATTCCCTGAAGTTAGTTAAATAGATTGGGTTTATTAAAAGAACTGGGATAGCCATTGAATTGTTGGAAGGGCTAGAGAAACAGGTTCAAGGCCGGGCTTTCAAGACAGTGCCTCAAAACCACACCATGGAAACTGCTGCTGCTGCTACCGCCTAGGCGTGAGGTGCGGGCTTAGGCTGCAGGCCCTGGAGCCCCTTCTCGTGAGCTGTTCATGCCTCGGCTGCTCCCCTTGTCAGCAAGATGTCTGCCCCTTGCTGGGCCTGCTTTTCCATGTTGTCCACCTCCAAGTCAGAGATATGTGGCCATTTGGCACCTCGGTGACATGCCTGTGCCCAGACTACAAAAGATCCTGGGAAGTAGGTTTAGTGGGCTCTGCCTGAGAAAGGCAGTATTTTTAAATCAGAGCAGTCCCCAAGCATCAGAAGGTTATTTTGCTAA